TTAAATTAACGATAAATTATTATTATTATTAATATTGTTAGAATACAGTTGCGATGATAAGTTTTGGGCCTTATAGAAAAATTTCTTTTGTTATTTATAAATAAGTAAATCTCATTAAATTTAAAATTTGATGTTTTATTATATATGAAAATTTTGGGTTGTCGCGGGTTTTATCCCGTAAAAAATTGCATCCTTGTTAAAAATATTAAAGATTAAACTCTGACTACAATAAAAAAAAAAAAAACTTTAAAGAAAATAATAATAATAATAATAATAATAATAATCGATGAAAAAAAATTTTTTTTTCTCATTATTCAAACCTTGAAAATCATATTTTCTTGCAAAATTTACAAAGGTTTCCGTCGAGAAGAAAAAAAAAAAAAATCATAAAACGATTGTTGTCCTCATTGTGATTTATTATAAATATCATCATTATTATGTTAACACCAATAATTTATTATTATTATCATTATTTTCTTTTTTTCTTAGTTATCAAAACGTAATTAGGAAGGTTTCGTACAAGTCATTGCTCACAAGGACCTCCTACCCTCCCTTTCCCTCCCTTCTTCATCTTTCTTCTGCTTTCGTTCGTTCAGAAGGAAAAATCTTTATCTTATTATTATTATTATTATTATTTTTATTAATTTATGATGAGGAGAAATGTTGATAATAATAACAAATATTGTTTTTTAACAATAATATTTTTACGGTAATTCAAAAAAAATTGTTATCACGATAAGACAAACGTGGAAATATTGATCGATCGATTGATTACTATTATTATTATTGTTTGTTTGTTAATTAATAAGCGGTAAACGTAAAGTAGAGCAAAAACCTGAGAGAAAAATTTAAATTTAATTTTTAATTTTTAAAAAATTTTTTTTATTTAATTGCCATCGGCGAGGACAACGAGACCAAGCTTTTGGGTTGGTCGGTTTTAACTTCTGCCACGTACAATAATTCACGATTATTTTTTTTTTCTCACAAAGTTTTAATAATAATAATAAT